CACTTCTGGCTCCCCAGAGGTCTCAGTACACTGGAGTCTTCCATTCCAGAGCTGTGGTCCAGAGCTGTTCCGTTTGGGTGATTGCTCTGGTGCACTCAGTTTACTAGTTCGTTCTGAATTTGCTGTGTCGGCCATGACTGTACTTTTATAAACTGGCTCACAGCTCTGCTTTAAGTGTTCTTTCTCCTGCTAAGTATGTCTGCTTTCTCATTGACTCACATTCAAGAAAAGGCAGGAGGTCCACAAGAGCAAGAGCCTGGCTCACCCTTCCCCACAGAGAGCCATCGCTTACTCCTTTCTTCAGGTTTAGGCTCAACTGCCAAATGTTCAGCCATTTTCCCCAACCCTCCAGCATAAAGTGGCAGTCCCCAATTCCTTATCTCCTCCCCTAATTCTGCTCTGTTTTCTTGGAATCATTTGTCATCTCACATCTATTGTTTCCCACTAAATATAAATTTCATGAGGGCAGATTTTTTACCATCTCTGCAACAGTAACTTGAAATCTAGAAGCACGCATTGTTGGTTAAACTATAAACTTGACAGTTCCCACCAATAAACTGGTAAAAATACTAGCATATCATATGATAATGTAGAGTTATGAAAATCACAGAGGCTGCATTAGGTAAATGTATTAAGTAAAGTAACTTGAGCTGAAAATTCATGAGAGGATAGGAAGAACAGAGTATAGGTAACTCAAGAAATGTTGCTCCAAGAAGTGAGGAAGGAGGAGTTGAGAATTTGGTTTTGCTTTTAAAGTTTTTAAATTAAAGGTAAAAAAAAGTTTGAAATGAACTTATATGTCATTAAAGACCCCAAATCCACTTCAGTTTTAACTGTTTGTTAGCCACTCAGACCACTATTTCATTTTAAGGGATAAGGATTCTGGAGTTCTTGTTTTCTAAGAAGCAGTTATTTTTCTCGTGTTAAATATATAGTCATCAATCATGTCTATTGGTGTATAAACCACAGCTCGTTTTTCCTTGTAACAATGGTGATATTCAATGTTTATTTTTGTAAGACTTGATTTTGCTAAGCATAATGTTCTTGTTTTTCCATGTCCTGCAGTGTTTATCGTTGTTTTTTATTGATGCATAAAATTCCATAGTATGAATATACCCGAGCTTGTTTATCCATCCCTCCATAGTTGGGGTATTTGGTTGTTTCTGCTTTGCTAATGTGGAAATTGCTGCAATAAACATAGTTGTGCACACGTCTATTCATGTTATATTCTTAATTTGTTTTAGCTATATACCCAGTAGAGAGATTGCTGGATCATAAGGTACTTGGATTTGTATTTGTTTAAGGAAATGCCACACTGATTTCTATAATGGTTATACAACTCTACAGACTCACTGGCAATGTAAACACGTCCTATCTCTCTACATCTTCTCCAGCAAGTTATTTTGTCTTATTGAATTTCGCCAAGTGTTAGTATAAGGTGTTCTCATTGTTGTTTTAATTTGTATGTCTCTCATTGCTCATTAAGAACATTTCTTCATATGGTTGTTGGCCACCTGTATGTTGTCCTTGGTAAATTGCCTATTTATGTCGTGCCCAGTTTGGGATTGGATTATTTGTGTTTTTCTTATTAAGATAAGGTGACCGGATTTTGACATTGGTAAAGCGGGGCGCCATTGATAAAACTCATATCCTGGCAAAATAGCCACATGGCAGCTGAAAACCGTATACCCTAGCTTGTCGTGCATTCTTTCCAAAAAAATCAGGACTTTTTTTAAATGCCGCGGGACGCGGGAAAAATTGTTAAAAATTGGGACTGTCTCGCCAAAAGCGGGACGTCTGGTCACCTTATATTAAGATGTAGTTTCCTATAGATTTTGGAGATTCGTGCTTTATTTGATTACTGAATATTTTCCAATCTCTGTTGACTTTTTTGATGAAGTCTTTTGTTGTGCATAATTGTATTTTTTAAAAGCTTGTTTTGTATGCTGATGGAGGTAACCCAGAAGGGGACAGTTCAGCGCTGGGATGAAAGAAGTTTGGTGCTGGGGTTTTGTGGGCTCACAGAGAGAATGGGTTCTAGCACAGGAGGAGCAGAAACAGGAGCAAGGAGCAGGATGGAGGCGGTATATGCTATTATGGAAACTGTAGTTCTTATCTGGCCAGAAGCCTCAGCTGGGTCTGCTGGCCATTTTCTTTTTTTTTAAGCCAAAAGTCAGGGAGCAGACTGATTGGCTACTCTTACCAGAGGATTACAATTACTCCGTTCTACGTCCAGGCTTTATAGATAGTTCTCTATATCAGTGACAGAAGATAAATGCCATTGTAAAGAGTGGCATACTTCCTTAGTAACAGATAAAATGCCAACTACGGGTCAAGTACTTTGAAGTGATCCTGAGTGATTTCGCGCGGTAGTTACGAGTGGGGCTGCTAACATATGGTCAGCAGTTCACAGCTATCAGCCGCTGCTTGGGAGAAAGACAAGGCTGGTTGCTCCTGTAGAGTTAACACTGTTGGAAACCCACCGGGCAGCTCTACCACGTGTCCTGTAGGGCGGATATAGGCTCTACCCAATGGCAGTGAGAAACAACAGTGATTTGGCAATAGTTTCTCTCCCGCCTTGCTGGTATCACTAGACCCATTCTGTCCCCCGCAGGTATCTAAGACTATGATCAAACACAATAAGGAAATGTATCATCCCCCCCTCCCCAGAAATTAAACCTGCCTCTTATAATGGAACAAAATACTAATCCTAGCTTAGTTCCTGCATTTTTAAAACATGGAAATGCTGCCATCTGCTGGTAATGCTTGTGCCAAAGAGAATTTGGGGTAGTCCAAAATTTGAATTGAAAGTTACAATTTCCTTCCTAAGTAGGCAGCCACATGGATGGCTTCATGGTTATTACATCTGACTAACTCTCATTTCTCATGCTAGAAAAATAAACAGCAAGTATGGTAAAGGACTTCGAATGTGAACTTGAGCCCTTGTCCTACTGAAGAACAGCCTTGCAGACAATGCAGGTCCAGAAAGAGGGCTGCCAAGAGCTTTCTCTCCAGAGCCCACTTCCCTTCATCTCCTCAAAGGGAAGGTGCATGCTTGCTTCCTTGCCTGCCTCAGTATTTACCTGAGATGGTGCTTGTCCTCTTGTGCCAGTGCAGAGCCTCCTGGTTCCAGCTGACCCAAAGAATGGCTTGATAACCTTGTCTCCTTTGAATCATTTCCTCAAGAAGCCAAGCGGGAAAATGACCTTAACAGGTTACACAGAGACGTGTGCTGGGAAATAAAGGACTTCAAGCTACAAAACCTGCTCAATCAAAATAAATTTCATTCATCTGTTGGGCTGGCTACGATTAAGTAATCGGGCTTTCAGAGAAGCGTTTTCAGCTTCTGAGCATTCCAGGTTCATCCGAGAGAGCACACGTCTAATACACTGACCACAGACATGGAGGGACTGCTGCCATGGCCGAGTGGAGCCTCCGGAGACAGGAGAGCCTGGATGGGATCCTGGAACAGAAGCGTCCAGCTCCAGCTCGTGGGCTCTAGTTCTCAAGACTGTACCTACCTAGCATTGCGACTTGTACGAAGAGGGCAAAGAGCATGGAGGACAGGGACCCTGTCAGGGTACTGATGGAATGTTTCTGTGAGTCTAAGCATAGACTGAGATGGACGGGACAGGATCGTCTCAACTGACGAAGCAGGCCCTGCAGGCCAGTTCAATCTCAAGCATCAGTCACAAAGCCTTGGTTTTGACTTGTTTAGTGGATGCTCTTCATTTATTAGTTGCACACCCCAAACTTTTCGTATAAACCTCAAGAAGCCTCACCCCTCCAAACTACTGCCTGGGGCAGGATGAACTAACTGTCTATCTGCAAAGGGACTGGGCTCTCACCCCCAACAGAAAGTCCCAGGAGGGTCCTTTCAAGCGATGGCAAATCTCAGGCTACTTGTAAGAACGCCCTCTGTGAAACGAGCCCGGGCACAGTGCTTGGTCCAGTCAGGGGCTTGCTCGAGCTGGCAGCCTTGCGCAGACTCTTATTTCATAGAGCATTCTGGTGTCACCCCAGTCTTCCCTTTCATGCAGTGACAAGAGTGCTCCACCAAAGGGGAGCTGTCTTGAAAGGAGCTCAGAACTCCTGCCACAGAAGCCTTCCCAAGCTCTGCGGTGTGAGAACTGAGCAGTGACGTTTGTACCTGAAGAAGAAAGGAGGCAACGCTCAGGAGCACACCAGGCTGTGAGGTGACCTCCTAGCTGACCTTTGAGTCCTAAATTGCATTAGGAATGTTTCTTGCCTTCTACTATAATACCATGTGCAAGTTTAGAATAAAATGACCTCTAGCAAAAGTCAACCAGTCCATACACGCTAGGGCTACTGTGACTACTAAAACAGAGCCAAAGGTGGGTTCCTGAGCAATCATAGTAGTCGCCGTCCTCAGATACATTTTGTATGTACTCAATCTTTCCCAGTTCCATTGATTAGCTTCAACTTGTTCCTTAAAGTTACCTTGGATCTCACATAAAATACGCTGACGAGATCATCTCATTTAAATAAAACTTGGGCCCAAAAACTAAGTCCAGTCACAACCCGAGGATGAGCAGAGGCACTGTCCAAGACTTCCTTGTCTTCTGAGACGATGTGTTCGAGGTGACCGGCGTCCTTGGGAACAGATCATGCAGCAGCAGCTGTGCTCTAAAAGACAGGTTCTTCTCTCCTGTTTTTATGAAGACTGAGGCACTCTGGTGGCACGGTGGTTACGTGCTCAGATGCTAACCAAAAGGTCAGCAGTGTGCACCCACCAGCTGCCCTGCAGTCTGTTTCCCTTAAGATTACAGCCTGTGGAACCCTAAGGAACCAAGCTCTGCTCTGTCCTATAGGGTCGCTATGAGTTGGAACTGTCTCTACGGCAGCAGGTACTGTTAAGATTTAGCACCCTCAGGGACAATCCAGAAACACCGCCCAGGCTGAGCCTTTAGATCAGAGCCCACTTACAAACTGGTTTGAAGTGTCCCCCAGTGGTCAATAAAGAGCATTCAGACTGCAGCTGACTTCCTCTGGCCTCGTTCCCTCCAAATTTTTATTTTGCTACCAACTCACTCACCAAATCATAAGGAAAGACAATTTTTAAAAAGTCAGCGAAAACCTAGGTATCACAGTACCCAATATCTAAACAGAATGATTTGCCCAAATACTGCTGTTGGAGGAGGAGAGAAGAGGGCTGGGAAGCAAAATGTCTTCACTTATGAGATAACAGCTTAAAGGAAATGCAGCCCAAAGTGCAGCGGTGTGGGTGGGAACATTCTGTTCCTTCACCTTGAGGATTATATGGGGCTTTGTCTTATTCCGCAGAGGAAATAAAAACAGGAGCTGCCGGAGTTAATATTAAGTTGGTTTCACCAGCAGGTTGTGGGTGGAGAAGGTGCAGGGCAGAAAGTGCAAGAAGAGGCAGCAAGGACAAACCATTTGGGATCCAGGCTCTCTTCCCTGGGTAACTCAGATTCTTCTAGATTTGGCTCACCAGTGGATCCAACATTCATAAAGGATCAGGTGCCCCACCATCCCCCACCCCGCCATGCCCGTGATAATAAAACATATTTAAAGATAAATGATCTCTATACATTTATATTCTGAAAAGCTTAAGATCCAAATGACAGGGGGCCATATAATAGGTTATAAAGTGCTCCCTCCAAGCAGAACTCACTCCAAAGACACAGAGGTTGGAAGGAATGTAAGAAACATGGAGGGAATAAGCTCGGGTTTATAAACGGCCACGAGAGCTCTCGGTGTAATTTTAATAAGGCTTCTACCCACCCTAGTTGTACATAACAGTACTGTAGGGGCCCCGACAGGACTGCCTCAGAGGGATCTATCTCGGAGATAAAAGGGTCTGTAAGTTAAACTTATGACCCCTCTCTTTACCTAAAGTTTAAGGAAGAAAATAAATATTTGATATTTAACTATGCAGAGTTGAGATACACTATATTACTGAATATTCTCTAGCTCTCATTTTCTAAACCTTTGGCTTATAATTTTCTCCATTTATGTTATACTTAGAATTATATGAACGTGCCTTGATCAGTAGTATCAAATGAAAATATAAACCTTGTTCTTCCAAATCTTCTACATAGTGAAGTGGGTGAATGAGTGGCACCCCAGATATCCTGCAAGAGCAGCGAAAACCATTCCACTCCTTATTTTGAGCAGTAGGAATTAGCTAGTTTTCAGTCTCATCTTCTCAAAAGTCTCCATTAACCTCCATAGCATAGAACAACCTGGAAGCATAAAATGAGGTACATTTTAAAAAAAAGAAAACGATTTCACGTAAAAAAGGAAAAAAAGACTCCTGTTTACTCTAGTATTTCTGCTAATAACTTTCCAATTGTTCCATTTCTTTTTAACCGTGCTGATCTTACTGGAATTGCTGTTGCTTTTATTGCCTGCTTTTTCCATATGCCTGTTATTTTAAAGTTTCCATTACTTTCAATACTCTTCTGAGAACATCTTTGTGCATCTTCTCTTCTCCTTTAATCACCCTACTGAGGACAGCTGAAATCTGAGGGTCTTTGACAAGCTCCCTTAAAGTTTCTAAGAAGAGCATTTCTGGGCTCCAGACCAGTCTTTTGGGTTCGAGATAAAACAGTAAGTATGGGGAAAGGAATCACAAAATGTCCATATTCAACGGACACATTACGTCAAGAAAAGCTGAATTCATTTGAGACACTATACAACTCGATTGCATGTTAATTGCTCCATATATTTTATCATCATCACCCATGCATCCTGTTTTGTAGTTGCCAGCTCATCACCTTTCCTTTATGCTACCTAAAATGTGTGCAATTCCCAACTCTAGATTTCATGGACAAAGTTGTATCTTCAACTCCTCTTTTGACATATCACCACTTAATACAGAGAAGTCTGGTAACTGAAAGGGCTCCTCAGTGGATGCTGAAATGGGAGAGGTAGTGGAGAAAAGAAAATACTGACATGGTGCCAAGGAGTCACCCACACACTCTGCAACTCCACAATGGAACAAATGATCTGACCGAGCAGCAGCAATAGTTGGGAGAAGCTGACCCTTCGGCGCTGGTGGCAGAGTGGGTTACGTGTTGGACAGCTAATTGCAAGGTCAAGTGTTCAACCCCGCTAGCTGCTCTGCGGGGGAAACACCTCCTGTAAACATTTACAGCCTCGGAAACCCTAGGGAGCAGCTTCACTCTGTCCGACAGGGCCACTGTGCGTCAGAATTGACTTGCTGGCAGTTAGTGATGGTGAAATGTGATCTAATATCAAATCCCATGAAGTACTGTCCAAAAGGTTTCCCTTCAATCTAATCAAACCTAGCCATGATATGAACAGATACACGCACACTCGTGCCCATCGAAGCCACAATAACGAAAACAATCCGTATGCCATCAGTGGAAGAATGGCTAGATAAACTTTGGTACATACACACAATGACACACTACCCAAAATTAAAGACTACTGATATACCTGCAAAACACCTCATAACATGGATTAACCTGTTGGTCTCTATGCTGAATGAAATCAGTCAATCACAAAAGGACAAATAATGTGTGAGACCACTAAAGGGGTCTCAGGCCAAAGAGGGAGGGAGTACTTTAGTAAGTACTTACGGTACTTACTAAAGGGTAGTCACATACTAACTTGGGGGAAAGAGAAGGCAATCAATAATACAAGGGAGGTGAGGAAAAAGATTGTGGAGGCAGGGAAGACTCTGGCAGGTGTGTAAGAATTAAAGGCCACGGAGACAAATCCATAAGCACAACCCTGCAATAACAGTGATCTACAAGCAGATGCTTGGTAGACCGGGAGGCTGAATGGGTGTCCAAGGCTATCTCTATATGTGTCTTTATCTATGCCGTAAATGTTTCCATGAATGTGGTGAAGCACACAGTGGGAAAAGTTCTGAACATTTCTGCAATACAACCATGTATCTTGAAAGGAGGAGTCACTGGGACTGGTGGCTCAGGCCCATTGTGTTGAAGGGCAGCAAGGTCCATTGGCCCAACACTGCTCATAAAGACAATGTTCTACAGCTCTCGTTGGTGAGCTCTGGGGGGGCTTTTAAAACCATCTGTGTTGTCTAGTTTGGACAAATGCACAGTGTAACATAGCCAGCATTACACAGAATAGTTCCTCTGCCCTAAAATTGCCCTGTGCCCAGCCTGTTCATCCTTCCCCCATCCTGCACCCCTGGCAACCGCAGACCTTTCTGTCAGTGCCCCTGTAGTCTTGCCTTTTCCAGACAGTCATATAGTTGGAATCATACAGTACAAAGGGGCTTCAAAAAGTTCATGGAAAAATGGAAAGATAATGGAATCTTTAAGTGCACCTACTGATTTCTCCCATCCAGAGCAAAGGAGAGTAAAGAATATCAAAGATGAGCGGGAACGACTGGTCTAGTCGTTTAATGAACCACGGGAACCTCAGCCTTCATGACTCTGAGGCCAGAACAACTAAATGGTTTCCAACAACCACTACCAACCACTCTGAAAGCCACACACGCCTTAGAAATAACCCAGCATTTGAGATCAAAAGGGCAACATTTACCACGTTCAGGAGAGTTGGAGGAAACACAGGGAGGTAGTGGGATAAGTGATGCTACTTTGTGGGGACTGCAATCAATGACATGAAACAAAATGTGTATGAATTGTTCAATGGAAAACTGACTTGCTCTGTAAACCTTTACAAAGTTTGCAATAAAAAAATCTAATCAAACCTCATTCGAGATCTAACTTCTAGTTTAAAGAAAATAGAAAGAATGAAGAAACAAAGAATGGGGAAAGGGGAAGGAAAAGCAAACCTATAAAAGGTAGGGTAGGATGTCAGAGGGCAACTTGCCTACATTCTTCAAAGAAGTCAAGCCTCCGCCCAACACACATCAAATGGGGGGGGGGGGTCTATTCTATATTTAAAAGTGACTGAAGATAAAGAACCAAATACACGAATCGACTAGATCTTGGTTCGCTGTTCAAAACCGCTCAACAGGGCATTTTTGTAATAATTGGGATGTTTCAAATACCAGTAGTTTATTAGATGATAGCATATTACTGTTAACTTTTTAAAACACATTGTGGTTACGTGGAAGAATTTTCTTATCCTAGGTGATATAAATGGAAGGATTTAGAGCTGAAGTATCATCACGTCTCCAACTTAGCTTTAAGTAGGCCAATAAAAAATCTAAATATGGCAAAATGTTATCAATTGTTAATTTAAGTGCAAAGTGTTTTGCTATTCCCGATGCTATCCTTTCGATGTTTAAAAACTCTACCTACAAATACTGGGGGGAGGGGGCAGGGTAAAAATAAAACAGAAGTTCCCAGGAGTGTGTGTTCTCAGCATAAGATTCATTGTTAGGAATATAGAAATTCACGTCTTAGAAAACATGTCAAAGAATGCTCTAAAAAAGTCCAAGTACTTAAAGTAAAACAATGGATTGATGATCTGCAAATCAAGTACCAAAAATTGCTGCCATGTCTGGGAAAGTCAAAGTATACATACCGGTTAAAGCAGGGTGAATCGGGATCATTGAAATGTTTGTAAGGGTTTGCTCTTGAGAGCGTCCCCATGCAAATCCAGCAGAAATACTGCATACAGCCAGTGCATGTCATCTTGTTACAGCCATCTAATTTCTGGGGGAAGGAGAGAAAAAGATGGAGTTTATGAAAGCAGAGTAAGAACCCTTGTTAAAAAGACTCCCTATAAAATTAATAATAATTTATAAACTATCAAGGGTTTATGGGGGTGGAGGGAGCAGGGAGGGAGGGACAAAAATGAGGAGCGAATACCAGTGGCTCAAGTAGAAAGCAAATGTTTTGAGAATGATGATGGCAACAGATGTACAAAAGTGCTTGACACAATGGATTGTGGATTGTGATAAGAGTTGTACAAGCCCCCAATAAAATGATTTAATTTAAAAAAAAAAAGATTCCCTATAACATTTTTCTAGTCTTCTCCCTTTGCTCATGTCAGGTTGAGATATACAGATAACACCTCAATGACCACCTGTATTACTTGTAACACAAAAGGAGTATTAATAAACATTTGGCAGATACTCTTACAACTAGACACCTAGTAAGATCTCTTCTGGTAAACTGTAGCTACGTGCTACTACGTATGTGGAATGTGTAGTAACAGATTATTGGTAAAATGTTTGGACTTAACACTTTTGACATAAATTTAAGAACCAAGCCCCACTCTGGCATAAGATTGAGGCATGCCAGAAGTGACTAAACATGATGCCAATTTCGTTCATGGCATCAGCGAGGAATTAGAGGAGGAGGTTTGGATATAGGAAATTGGCACAGTTGAATAAAAGCAAGATACATATGACTTTAAAATGTATTTAAGATTTATCTAATTATTTTGACTCAGGTAATTGGGGGAAATGTCTGCATTTCCGGAACACGTAAATAAATGCTAAACAAGTGTTGTGCATCTCAGCATCAACAGTTCTGAGGAAAAGTCAGGCTGGGTTGATTCTTGTTTTTTAAATCAGAGGTGAATTGTGACTGGGGCGCTAGAACAGCCTCCTTGCAACCCATCCCGTTTCCAGGTAGATGTAAGATTTCCAGGATGGTGCCAACAGGGAAGCACTCAGCTACTAACTGAAAGGTCGGTGGTTCAAACCCACCCAGAGACACTCGGGAGCAAGGCCTAGCAATCTACTGCTGAAAGATGCCAGCGGTTGGCAACCCTGTGGAGCAGCTCCAATTAGGACACACCTGTCCCAGCGTGAGTCGGTGATGCTCTCATTGGTTTTCAAAACAATGTGGGACGACTGTCACCAAACAAAAGCACCTTGAACAGGACGTCTACATAATTGAAGGCAAATACTATTTAATAATAAATTTGCATCCTCTAAGGAAAAGCTACCAGCACGTGCTTTCTTAATAAGTCAGACAACTAATGAGCTTCCTGCGGCAACCCTAACAGGCTTGCAAGTGTGCTGACCGACCGACCTCCGAGCTTGTCCTGCGAGTTACCTCTATGGGGGTCCCACAGCACGGGCAGCTTTTGGCGTTCTTTTCCAGCCACTCCTTACTTTCCATCTCTTCCAGGGCCTTCTGGATCACCCTCTTGCCGAACCTCTGCTCCAAAAACCTTTTAGTGGCCTCATCAGCTTGCAGGTACTCATCTCGTAAGTCTATTAACTTCTCTAGAAAGTGAAATGGAAAATTAGCTTTGATCCAATTTTGCCATGCTGACTAAAAACCATTAAAAATGGCTATAACCTTTACTCAATTCTGCTCCTCCTGGGACTCTTAGCACAAGGAAATAATCCAAAGTCAAGGCGGATGCATTTATCAATGGAAAACAAATTAAACGCCCCAAGGAATAATTAAGGGTGGAAGAGCCATTGAATAGCATAATACTGTCATTATTACAACACAATTAAAATGCTCACTATAGAATCCAGAAAAAAAAATGTTCATTTTACAATTATGGAAAAAATTTACATGCACATATTGCAAAGAATGGAAAGTCTTTCCCAGATGCTCCCCCACCAAACTATGAAAGATGAATTTGCTAAAAGGAGTAGAATAATAAGAGGTTTTCCCTTTGACTGATTAATATTGATATTATTTGTGCAAATTAATATTATCAAGTTAAAGACAAGAGTTATCTGAAAGACTCAGAGGTTGAAACAGCCACATTCACTGGTTTTTCACTCAGTCAGCATCATTCACCAACTGGTAAGATTGCAAGGTTCAGGCGGTACACAAAAGCAGCTACAGGCCATCTAGCTCAAAAGCAACAAAGCCCACATGGAACAACATATCAGCCTGTGTGACCACGAGGTGTCGAAGGGATCACTGAAGACAAATGGGTGCA